TATATATATATATATATATATATATATACATATATATATATAAATATATATATATATATATATATATATATATATATATATATATATATAAATATATAAATAAAATGAAGCCCTTAACGTGGGAGCAACAAGTTGATAAAATAATTTTTTTTAGTATTTTTATTTAAGTTTATATTCATCAACAAATTTCAAATTTCATCCAATAATTTCTTATTTTTCGAAAATTATGACCATATAAAGTTTTAACCCCCCTCAATTTGAGGGGGCTGTAAACTTCGTAGGGTCATAAAAACTTAAAACTAAGAGGTTATAGCATGAAATTTGAAATTCGTTGATGAATATAAACATAGATAAAAATGCTAAAGAAATTATTTAGTCAATTTGTTACTCCCACGTTAAAGGCGAGGTGGGCTCGAAAATTGGGGTTTTTTTTGTCCCCAAGCTCCAATCACCACAACTTTTTGCAAAACATTTTCATTTGACATAAGTACGAACATACAAAAGTTTGGAGTTTGCAAAATACATGTAAGTGTTAAAACTCAAACATCTAAAAATCCAGTGTACACCACTGTATATATATATATATATATATATATATATATATATATATATATATATATATATATATATATATATATATATATATATATATATATATATATATATATATATATATATATGTATATATATATATATATATATATATATAATATATGTATGTATATATATGTATATATATATATATGTATATATAAATATGTATATATATATATATATGTATATATATATATATATATATATATATATATATATATATATATATATATATATATATATAGTATATATATATATATATATATAGATTTTTGAGTTGTCTGGTATATAGTTGTGTTCTATTAGTGGAAAGATACACCGTGGTAAAAAATAATTAAAATTGCTCAATATATAGAGGTCCCACCAGCCCGCACAAGTTTCACATATGTTAATTAAAATTAAGCTCCGCATAAATTTTTTCCATTGGATCTTTGACATTATTCAAAGTCTTTGGTAGCCATGTTTAATTTTTTCAAGATTGTTTTATGATCTTTGTCTGCTTTTTAGAAGTTATATAAATAATTCAGAAGTTATATAAATAATCATGATTTATTAACAGATTGGTAAATATACAGTATTATTCAAACTGTCAATTTACACTGTTTGCTCTATTATTTGTAACTTTTTTAAAAAAATTAAGAAACTGAAATTGCTTATGTGTACTGTGTATAGTGTTAAACAGATTATCAGTTTATTCAGCTAATATATAGAATTATAAATGAGGCACATAGGATAGTATAGCATGTTATAGAATAAAGCATAGCTAATGCCAGCAATATAATTAATTTCTAAATTTTATTTAAAATATAAATGTTAAAGTTTTTGTTTTTTTTATCCTCTGGTATTTCGTTAACCCGGAGGAGATTTTTAATAAAATCTGACGTGTTTTCAAAGTCGAGTCTACTAGCCTAGGTGATGTGATGTTGAAATAGTTTGAAATCATTTTAAATTTAGAAGAGTACAGTGTTTTTGCAAGCTTTTCTCTTTTTTTCAGAACCATCACCTAGTAAAACTATATCTGTTGTGCCAAGTCCTCAAAACACAACTCCTTTCTCAGCTTGCAAAAAAAAGCCACAGACTCGTCGAGCTACCGAGTTGTTTGGGATCAGCCCTGCTATATGCGCAGATGATGGAACAATCACAGGTATTCGGCTGCCAACTTGCTTACAAGTTTTTAGAAGCATGATGTAACGCTGCAATGTAGCAGTAAACAGTCAACGTCCAGGATCAACTGGTGCACCATCAAGATTTACAATAGCAAAAATAGTGCTGAAAGAAATTGCATCGCTGTATGGAAAAACCAACATACCGATGGTTACAAAAAGAAGAGCATGTGAGAAAATAATTAAGCTCTTAGATGATAACAACAAACTCTGTTCAATCAAAAAAGCCGTCATGACACACTGGACCCAAAGAAAAAACTTAAAGATATGCAATCCATGTTGGCATTGACATTCCAGCTCTGGCCGCCTAATGTTGAAAGTCTTGTCAAGAATCCAGAGTATCTTACATTCCTCCATTCAATGAAAGGGGATAGAGCTGCTAGCTTTGGTGCGTTTGACAAGGTACTTGCCCAAAAGATAGCCAGGCGCCATGATCGCGATGTTGCAGCAGCAAAGTGTCTGAAGTATGCTTGTGATAAAATTGAAACATTAAAACTGCCTGTATCATCAGAAGTTTTGACTGAAACAGAAGGCAGCAATGCTGACGAATCATAAGAGTCTGCCTTTGAAGATATGGATTTGGAAGCTGACTCTGAATCAACAGATAATGTACCATCTAAAAGAAAACCAACAGGAACAATGGCCTTTATACCTCCAAACTTGCTAAGCCGACCAAATCTAGTGTTGTTTGCAACAAGACTTAAAATGACACCAACACAGCAAGCTGCATTCACTCAGGGATT